AAAAAAAAATTGTAAACCGCTTAGAGAGGGCTGAAAGCCCTATGAAGCGGTATATAAGTCTAATAAATAAATAAATAATTACAGATTTGCTATGATATAATTTAACATAGTCTAGCATAATAAATATAGCAATAATTTAACATAAATAATGCATACAGTATTGAAAACTAAAATTGAGAGAATATATCAAAAATAACGATGCATTGTGCTACTTTGGATCAGAGATCTAGCATTTTTAAATGGATGTCTTAACATTTCACTATAACCTTGATAATCAAACTTTTAATATGGTGCATATAATATCATTAATGCTCTTTATGATATTATTCCCCAATAATGCAGCAAATCCCCCGTTTAAAGACTGTTGGGTTATCTATTCAGTCCAATGCCATGAAAAGAAGAATGTCAGACTGCAAAAAAATGTACCGAAAATGTATTTCTTAGATTTATATATATTTAGACAGTTGCAAAAGTCAGTGAACTTTGGTTTATTCATAGAATCATAGAAATGAAAAGGGTCACTGAAGCTAGCTTTTAGTTCACTGCAGGAATCCAAAGAAAAGAATCCTTAACAGATGGCTATCCAGCTGCTACTTGAAAAATATTCAGTGAAGAGACTTCAGTGAAACACTCTTTGTCTTGGTAACTGATTCTCCTCTCAACTGCATTCTCTATTAGGATATTTTTCCCCATTAATATCATTCAACCAAGAGCCATGTTGGTATAAAATGGTAAAGCACAAGCACAAGGGCACACCAATGTTTTTTCAACCTTGGTAACTTTAAGATGTGTGGACATCAACTCCCAGAATTTCTCGATGAGCATGGGAGTTGAAGTCCACACATCTTTGAAGTGGCCAAAGTAGAATAACACTGCTGTAGATTCACTTTAAGCAGAAAGCCATTTGTGAACTTGGAGCCAGTCACTCTCAAGGGGGGAAAAAAGCTATGGCAAACCAAGTTCAAACATATTTAATATGTTTATAATCATATAATATAAATATATAATATAAACATAATATGTATAGAATCATGTGTTTTCATACTTGTTTCCTTATACTTGTTGACAAATAAATGAATAAAATATTGCCAAGGCTAGTCCCAGCAATCAACAGGAGTCAAGACTGACTCAAAGACACACACATACACATCACCCATTCAGCTGAAAAGTACTTTCATGTAAATTTAAAAGCACTTTTTTCTATGTAACACCAGTGTACTGTAGGAAGTTAGTACCCACCTCTCTCCTAGAAAATGAAATATTTTAGGAAATATGAAAAGGCAGACTATTTCCCCCTAAAAGGGAGGAAGAAATTCATCCCCTCCCCCTTTGTCAATGAGTCATTGAGGCCTGGGCCAGTCTATTCTACATAACAAAGGTAGGATTAGCATTCCACCCATCTCACCACATGGCACCTGGGAGGATTGCATTACCCAGCAAGTCAAGCAAGCCTGGGAGACAGCCTACAGAGTTGCTCCTACATGGCCCCATGGGAGTCTGACAGCCAATCAGAGTGCATTTCTTGCACAGGAGCAAGAGATCCCAGGGTGGTGCCCAACAGAGGGCATAAAACCAGGGACTTTCAGCATTTCAACACTTTTTCTTCTTTACCCAACATCTTGAAGCATGTAAACATCCTTTTTCTGTTCAGGAACTCAAGCCATGTGATCCTGTCCGCTATTAAAACCATCTTTCCAAGCAGCCTCCATGTTTTCTGTATCTTTCCCCCCACTTGGAACTGAATCCAGAAGGACATTTCTTCCAGGAGTACAGTTATATCCCATCTCAGTCAACTTTTCAAAAAAAACCTAAAAGCCAATCAAAAATATGGCTAATTGTTTTGTGTGAGCGGAATCTCATTGTTTAGTGGGAAATTACTTCATCATGTGTGGATGAAAACATTAACAGGTATTTTAATAAAGAAAACTTCTATAGCTCTGTTGGAAATTGTCATTCTTTACAGATAATTTGCAAAAAGTTTTATTATCTCTACTACAGCAAGTTAATGTTTCGTGAGAAGAACAAGGAATACAGTATGATAAATATTCCATATGTTGCAATGTAAGAGCTGGATTCTAGTGCACTTTCACTTTCCCCGGGTGAAAGGGCCTCACTGATTTATCTCAGCATAATCTATTAGGCAGGTTTGTTGCTCTGGAGAAAAATAAGAGGGGGCTGTTAAGTATACCTTACTGTCTTGAGCTCCTAAATGAAAGTTTGGAAATAAACACATTTTACAGTTAGTGCAAACACCTGAGAAGATAATTTATCAGAGGAACAGGGTACATACTGTATACAGATTAAATATCCGTCAGTTTTTCCTGGAAAATGTTGTCAAGCAGATCAATGGTATCTGGTAACTCTGCTTTAAAATCTTTTTCAGACCGTAAAATTGATAGAAACAGGAATGCAACGTTTGTTCTTGCTATGATATTGGCTGGGTTTCATTACATAGTTTAGCTGACTCAGCTGCTTATTTACAAGCACTGTAACTAAGATAAAGTACAGACAACTGTGACAAGTTTGATTTCTTCTAGGTTGGCTGAGCAATGCAGCACGTACTTTAGGTGCAAAAGGTCTACGTTATAAAGCTTGATGGGGCTTAGACAATATTTATCCAAAGTTTTAGAGAGGTTTTGCCACTCTCTAATAATGAATAACTGTATTGATATTCTAACTTGGTAAGGATAGATAGATAGATAGATGGATGGATGGATGGATGGATGGATGGACGGACGGTCGGACAGACAGACAGACAGACAGACAGAC